TACAGTAGAGATGCGTAATGTTAATTTTATTCCCGAAGGTAAAATCTTGATATATGAGAAATTTTTTTTCAATGTAAAATTTTCTTTATGATGAACACAATGTTATTCTTTATTACTACACACGACAATTTATATAATGACGTGTACATTTCCGTGATGTTTCAACGAGAGAAGCCACGTAGGACGTATAGAATTAATAGAACGTCTATTAGTACAACAGCTATTTAAATCAAAAATAAGTCTCATAATACGCTTGACTCAGCCTCAGTGCGGTTAACCCCTCATATATGCTGTTGATAAAACGAATTCATCTCTATTAACTGATTCAGCCAATCATGCGTCACGCGGGCTCGATGGAGTTACGAAAATGCCATTCATCCTCGTGTCTCTTTGTGTCTTCTGTTCTGAGATAATGAATTGTTCGACGGTGATAACGAGACGGATAAGAAACGTAGCGCATTCGATTAAGTCTCACATGAGGCACGTAATCATCGATTTATATTTATATGATGTACATGTTGTATTGTCTTGAATTATGTGACTTTATCTCTTCAAGATTGCAGACAGTCTCGAACAAAGCTTTCGAATGACATTTAATTCATGAAATCTCTTTATTTAATGCAGAATTTATTTATAACATTTTATTGTGTTCTGAAACAATGATTATTTTTATAGATGGCATGATTAATTGTTTTAGAATTCTCAGAGAGTCATCTGTATAATAATAGAATATGTGATTTAAGTCTCACTTTCTTTTCCTGTTTATTTGTTATCACAAAATTGTTTGTCACGTTTATAATTGGAAATTTAAAATTTAAGTGTTATCTTAACAATTATAATTTTGAAATGATATAGAATATTTGAATATTATTTATGTTGCTTTAATATGATTATAAATTGAATTAGCATTATTTTAGCAGCGAACGAGCGAAGTGAAGCGAATTTCTTATTGTTCCATCAGACAATGGCAGCAAATATTTTTAGTTGACTAGATCAGCAGAAATTTTATTGGATTATGTCCAATTTAAACATGACTACTCGTGCTATTAGTTATTATCTTTTTGTAATATCTTTGTTGCTTTCTGAGCAAATATTTATTTTTCGAGCTATTTTTAATATCGCTGATATATCAATGTTGTCATACTAATATATTACAGAGTATAATATTCATAAATATTCAACAATAAATGTGATTATTTTTTCAAATATCTGTAAGTTTTTATAAATATTCCATATAAATGTCCCTTCAAAAATAATATTTTGTTTTTAATTATTAAAAATAATATTTGTTTTGTTTCGTTCGATGCTTATAGCAATGCGTTGCAATATTAAGTGGAAATCTGGCGAGTTTACTGAATGCAAGTTGAAAGAATGCTGGACGTTCTAGATCGACTCGATGATTCATTTACTACTAAAGTATTGATTCTTTTCAGAGAGCAACGACGGTGCACACACATTGAAACCGTGTAATACTTCGGATCTCACCGAGCAATGCGGTAAAAATCAGAGGTGCCGTGTAACCAACAATGGCAAACCGATGTGCGAGTGTCAACGAGATTTTTATTTTGTTGATGGTGAATGCATTAGGACATCAACATCCACGATGACAAACGTTACTACCCTCAAGCCAGAGCAGAGGTCCGAGTCAGGAGGTATGTGTACACCGGGAAGTAATCCGCTGAATGTTTATTCTTCATCGTAAGCTTTATCATGAAAAAAAAATAGGCACACTGGTTCTTCTAACAATCGCTTTTATCATTTTTTGAATATAAGATCCAATATTCGAATGTATATAATCAGCCTTACGCTCACCTTATGAGTGTCTTAACTCATAATTAGATAATACTGTTTAACTTGCCTATTATTCATTTATTAATATACGACAAAGAAGCAATAGGAAGAAAAAACGACCTTGAAAATCAGTCTAGCTAATGGCAACAACTAAATTTTCTATCAATGTTGTGCAATTTGATTTAGGTAGCTCTGTAGCCGCCGGTCTGCTAATACCCACCTTCCTTATAGTAGTCGGTGTACTACTGTACTTCGGTGCGAGACGATACAAATGGCTACAACGATTTCGGCAGTATCGTCACAATCGTTACGGCAATGTCATAGTCACGAGAGACGACGATGATGACGACGATCCACCGATAGCGTAAAATGATAAATAAAATGTAAGAGAGAATTATAGAGATATGCACAGGCCGCGCGTACCAAACGATCAAACTTGAATAGGTGCAGTGTATGCTTGTGTGTTGATAGAACGTACATAGTTACGAGGCTGTAGTGTGGACTTTGGATACGGGAATACACACACACACACACACACACACACACACACATATATATATATTCGGTTGGTGACGCTTGTTTTGATTCCTTTAGGAATCGTTACCACGTAATTCCGTGCAACTATCAGCAGGGAAGTATATCTACTAAGTGCACAAGAGGCGGGAGAAGAAAATGAATTACGAGGCCAAATGTAAAGATGCACTCGCGCGAGTAATTATGCTTTTATCATTAATTCGAAGATAGATTGGCTGCGTTCAGCAGAATACAGTTTTACAACCGTTCTATGATTATCTACTGAGAGGGATCATTCTTCTAGGTTTAAAAGTATAATCCAATCAGCACGAAGAAAACTTTCAACAGTTGCAAAATAAATGTTCTGTTGAACGCAGC